TTTTTTTTTTTTTTTTTTTTCAGATGCCCCTTAACAGCTAGTTAACGACAGATACTTGATCGTCATGTTTTAAAAGTTCGGATACTGAATTATTGCATTTTAAAGTTCGGGGACTAAAATGACACTAAGCCCAAAATACAGGATACTAATCAAGAATTTTTACTAAAGATAATAATGATGTAACATAATGAACCACATCAATTGGAAAAATGGGAAACCAATGTAGCTTAAATAAATTGACAAACACGTCTGCACTATATGAAGAAAGAGAGTTGGAGTGACTAATAATATAAATGAAAAGAATAAATAAAGAGCTATTCAATTTTTTAGCAGATGTAGTTCAGCAAAGGGACTTGAGAATTTGCGTCATACTTTCTTAGTATCATCATCAAAATCAACTGTGGAATCGTAAAGTAGGCAGGTCACTTTTACTGGGACTATGAAGAGTTGAAGACCAGGCCCACGTTTCCTTGGTCACTCGACCCACGATGATATGCATTCACCACGAGAGTCAAAAGGCTTTCCTCCCTGTTGACCCAATAAAACCACATGGAAACGGAACCTTTCGGGTCAAAAATCTACACCACTACGTAACACACTACCATTTGTTATTTTGTCTCTTTAGAATATGTCTAAACAATCTTGGGGCCCAGGGTGTATATTCTGGTTCACGTTTTCCACTCCACTTATTAGTGCTAGGTGGTAGGGTTGCAAACTAATCGGATATGCTTAGATCGATCCAAATTCGACTTATTATTTCTTTACAATCGATACAATCGTTTGTTAACTTGTTCAGCAAATATGTTACTAACAGCTTGAGTCAAGTTATGGTTGAGGGGTCTTGGCAGCAAATTAAGTGGGAAATACGGCCTCAAGGATGGATTAAAATCAATAAGGATGGGGCTAAAGAAGACTAACCCATAATTGGGAGTCACCATTACGGGTGTAAATGAATCGGATCGGATCTGATCTGGGATCCGATTCTATTTTGGTCAAACTTGGATAATTCTTATTTGGATCTTTGGATTGGATCAGATAAGATTGGTTCCGAATTTAGATTGGATGGATCATTCTTATATTATATGCTTATAAATATATACATATATATATAAATATATAATACATATATATGTTATTTTCTATTTATAAATATATTTTTTATATTATATTTTTATAAATTTGTTATATTATTTATTTAAAAAAACATGTATATATATGATAGAAATAATTAAAAATACTTGTATTTTTTGTTTTTGCTTTGTATAAATTAGTATATTTTATTTTCTTTTAATAATTTATTATTGTTTAAACAAAACAAGTCGGACCAGATCAGATCCAAAGATCCGACTTACTAATAGGATTCAAATTCAAATTGAGTCCTATCAGATCTGATCCAATCCAAAGTTGAATTCGAATATATCCTAATTTGAATTCGATCCTATCTGTTTGCATCCATAGTCACCACAATTGATATTGTTGATGAGTCATTCGTGAAAGTATTGAGCTGTCTCATGAACATGGCTTCAAAAAAAGGTAAAATATAAAAACCTCCCCTATAATATTGAAAAAAACTTGCAATTATAGTTATTGTCTTAGGTGGAAAAGGTTGCTAAATGCATTAGTTTTTTGGAAGCACTCATTTTACCCTTACATCTATCAATTCAGATGGAAATTTCTAGGCTGCATTTGTCCTTATTTTAAGGATTTGTCTCCTTTTTGCAATTAAAAATTCATTGTTCATAGGCAAGGGTGGAGCCAGAAATTTTTTATGAAGGGGTGGAAACCTAAAATGGATTGGGGGTGGGGGAAAATAAATATTAATGAGCCATCAGGGGACCAACCATTGAGGTGGGGACTGGGGGAAGGAGGAAATTTACATGAAATTGTGTATTACAAGTAAGGTTTTCCGAACCATAGGGGGGGGGGCATGACTCCCCTAGATCCCCCTATTAAGAGGAGATAAGTCCTTAAA